TGGCATGTGGTGCTGGGGGATTGAACCGCGGTCCCTGTGCTTTGCCAAGCTTGTTCCAAGTAGGTGCTTTAGACCACTGAGCCATCTCTCCAGCCCCCTTTTTACTTCTTTCTGTCCCTGTTTGCTTAGGGTAGACTAAGTAGCCATCTTGGTTGGTTCTCTGCTGGCTTTCCTTGTGATCTCCATGGCACCCCTGAGTTACTCCTACCCTCTGGCTGGGGAGGAAAAGTGGGAGCTTTGGGTTATTACTCTTAGTGTTCAGTTGGCCATTGAAAGTAGTCATTTTGTAACCCTTCTTCTTTTTTCCTTAATTGCTACTAGCATTTTATGACTTTGATGTGAGGATAACTCCCTCTTTGGGGAACTCGTCCAGTGAATGGTCAACAGAGGAAGGATGTGTAAGAGAACAGACCTTTGTGAGAACTAGTAGAGTAATACTAATTTAAGTCAAAGTTACAGAGTTAAGTAAGATATTCCACTTATTTGATGGAAGAACCTAAAATATTTATGTGTTCCTTAAAAAGGTAACAGAAGCAAATGGGAAATGCATTTTGGTTTCAGTGTACCTGTTAAAGTGTATCAAATTGATGCCTGTGCTTTTTTTAAGATTCGGAAACCCCGACCTCAGAGAGAACGAGCCCAATGGGATATTGGCATTGCTCATGCAGAAAAAGCATTGAAAATGACTCGAGAAGAAAGAATAGAACAGTATACTTTTATCTATATTGATAAACAGCCTGAAGAGGCTTTATCCCAAACAAAAAAGAATGCTGCCTCTAAGACCGAAGTTAAAAAACCCCGAAGACCAAGATCTGTGTTGAATACTCAACCAGAACAGACCAATGCAGGGGAGGTGGCCTCTTCACAGTCAAGTACTGACCTTCGGAGACACAGTCAGAGGCGGCACACAAGTGTGGGAGAGGAAGAACCGCCCCCTGTTAAAATAGCCTGGAAAACAGCAGCCGCAAGGAAATCCTTACCAGCTTCCATTACAATGCACAAAGGGAGCCTGGATTTGCAGAAGTGTAACATGTCCCCAGTTGTAAAAATTGAACAAGTATTTGCGCTTCAGAATGCAACAGGAGATGGGAAGTTTATTGATCAGTTTGTTTATTCAACAAAGGTACTTCCTTTTTTATGGTTGTTTTGTTTTGTTTTTGAGGGGGGTTATTTTATTTTTATTTATTTACTTATTTATTTATTTTGGCGGAACCAGGGAGAGGGGATTTATTTTAAAAGTAGTCAACCTTGGCATTTAAAGAGCAACACAAAGATATAATTTAAATGGTTTTTGTATTTCCCACATTTGGAACATAAAGTCACGTTTATCCTGTGGGCAAAAAAGACAGGCAAAATATCTCTGTTTTTCTTTTTTTCCTTTTTCATTTTCTTTTGTAATATTCCCATCTGTGGTAGATTAATCTTGAGCTATGCAGCCAAGATTGAACTTAGCTCCCAAAACCCATGGAAAAAAACTGGGCAGTTTGCCTGTTTCTAGTTTGTATAGTTTTTCTTTGTTGTAATGTGTGCTTCTTATTAAAATCATTTTTCCAGTTATTTGAATTAACCATTGTTATAAAAACTACTATACTAAATATGCTTGCTGACCTGTTTAGTTGCACAAGCAGTTTTGTTAGACTCCCGATCTCTGGATATCTAACTACATATTATGGAATCCCAGTACTGTTTGTCCTGTGATATTTAATTGTTGCGATAGCCTGCGGGATGAGTTAGAAATAGTCACTACAGATTACCTCCATCCATCTCCCCTGGGCCTACAGACATCAAAGCTTTCTATAACATTGATAATATCTATATACCTCCTCATCACTCTCCTAACGCATATAACTTTGAGTTTGTTTTAAAAATAATGAATCCTGTGTTTGTTTATTCCTAACATAGGCATATGCACATTAAAATAATTCATTACTTGTAGGATTGTCTCATAACATTTTCTTAGACATGTTCAAGGTCCTAAAGGTCCTAGTAAAGCTTGTGTTTGGTCTCCACTTTCATTTTCTTGATAGCAGATGAGACTTTTGAATCTTTTATAAATGCAAGTTGGCCTTAATCTTGGAGCTAGTTTTATGTGCTTTTGGATACACAAATCAAACTCGGTCCTCTCACCCTGACAATGTTATTTACGGGAAATTTGAGATAAAACTGATATTTTAAAAATACATACCTATTTATAAATTACTTCTATTTTTGCTCTTACACATTAAAATACCTAAGTGAGGCTGGCAAGATAGTGCGGACTAAGCACCTGCTTAGGCAAGTGCAGGGAATGGGGTTCAATTCCTGGTACCACAGGCTATGCTGGCCCTGACCCTGGGTACACTGAGCCTGTGACCAACTTCACATGATGGCACATACCTGTAATCCCAGCACTGGGGAGGCTGAAAAACAGGAGGATCACTATGAGTCCGAGCTGCGTAGTGAGACCCTTTACAAAAATACAAACACATAAAATACCTAAATGAGACTTACATGAATTTTACCTACCTTCTGTCTGCTCCAGATTACTTATTGGTCACATTTTGATCACTACAAATGACATATTTCTGTATCTTCAGGATATTCTTGTTTCTTTAGACATGCTGGCTTTTCTGTCTTTTAATAGGGCTCTACATCAAATGATAGTGACTATAGTTATCTATTACATGTGTAAAAGAAGAAATTTCACAACAATTTTCTTTTTTCAGAATATTGGGTGATACAAGTTCATTTCTTAGGAATTATCTGTTATCTGGAATTAGACCAATAGTTTTTGTCTACATGCTCTCATTGTACATACATGCTGATTGCAATAAAGTTGTTGTGATAATGGCTAACAAATAAACTATAATCAAAGATCAACATATTTAAGCAAATTATAATTAGGTTAAGCCAACTTCATAAGTCCATGATACCTTTTGCCTGGTAATTACCTATTTTATTTTGCCTTATTTTGAAGGGAATTGGTAACAAAACGGAAATAAGTGTCAGGGGGCAAGACAGGCTTATAATTTCTTCACCAAACCAGAGAAATGAAAAGCCAACACAAAGTATATCATCTCCTGAAACAACATCTGGTCCTACAGGTGAGTGTAAATGAGGAGTCTATGGATCCATTAGGAGAGATCATTGTGTTTTGATATGTTACTAAGATACCTCATTATCAAAAGTAAATTATTGAGCATGGTGGTGTACTTTTATAGTCTCAGATTTTCAGAAGGCTGAGGCAGAGGGATCCCTTGAGCTTAGGAGTTCAAGACCAGTCAGAGCAACATAACAAGATCCCATCTCAAAAAAAAAAAAAAAAAAAAAGAATTATAAAAGCAATTATTTCAATAGAAATAGTGATTTAGGGGCTAAAGAATTTTTATTCATCGTAACAGTTACTTTTCCTTTAGGAATTTTAAAAAGGACAGTACTATAAGAATATAGCTATAAAATCTAAACATACCAGAGTACAGTAATTGTACCATTTGATTGTCTCTATTTAGATGAGAATAATCACTTTACTTTTCTAGCACTCTTAGCACATTCTTAGCATTTCCTTCTTTATCATCTGTTGGAAGTAAATCAGCAAAATCTGAGCTCTTTTTATTAGAGATCTTGGTAGCTGAGAGGCCTAGGATCTAACTATCCTAATGTAACTTGTTCTCTGATTAATGAACACCATGAACTGAAAAGATGCCTATATTCAGTAAGGTTGTACCTTTAGAATATTGAAAATAATTTTTTTTTAGAGGCTGGTGGGATCTTAAGAGGTTTTTTTGTTTGTTTTGTTTTGGTTTTTTGTTTGTGGTTGGCTCAGCCTGCCCTGGGGTCAGAATTGCCGTAGCCAGATCTTAGTTTCCACTGAATGGTGGGTTTGGTTTATATAACAGTGTTGTATCAGTTATGTTAGTTTCACAACATAAGTATGATCAGTTATTAACTGTCTCCCACCTGTCTCCCTCCTTGGAGGTTGAATTGGGACTGAAAATTTATCATGGTCTAATCTTTCTAGTGACCAGTCACCTAGGAATTCATCAAGAGTTACTTCATTTTCTCTGTCACTGAGGGAATCCCAAGAGATTAGAACTCTGTGTTAGGAACTGGGACCCAAAACCAAATACTATACCAGGAGGCTCCTAACATCCCTATCATGTATGAAATTGCAAGGGATTTAGGCTTTATGTGCCAGGAATCAGGGCAGACACCAAATACATACTTCTTGTATCACAGTATTAGAGGGGCCACATAATTTTCTGGAAGGGCCATAGTTATAAGACCTGAAGTAGTAATCTTGAGTCAGCAGTAAGCCAGGTAAAGCCATGTTGAATGACATGAAGAAGCATCCTTATAAGGTATATTTATAACTCTTAATTATTACCAAAGCTAAGTAAAAATAAGTACTCTTTAAAGAAGGACTTGGGCTTCTAAAAATGTGATGGGGCTGCAGGGCAGAAGTAATGGCAGAGGACATGGGACATATGTTGGATATTGTATATTAAATATGCCTTTATTTGTATTGAGTTAGGAAAGAAAACAACTAAAGAAAGGAGGGACTAGCAAGATCCAGAACCAGGTTTTTACTTGTATCACTTCAGAATACTGTTTACTAAAATCAAATTGTGGCAGGTATGATGGCACATTTCTGTAATCCTAGAACTCAGGAGACTGAGTCAAGAGGAACACTGTAAGTTTGAGGCCAGCCTGGGCAACACAGTGAATTCAAAGCTGGCCTGGACTACATAGTAAGACTTGTCTCAAAAACAACAACAACAACAAAAAAAAACCTAAAGTGCAATAAAATAATAATAATAAATACAGTGGCTCTTTGGTTCATGAACTTTTCTTTCTATGATTCTGGTTGCAAATCAAGTTGGACAAGAACTGAAATCGTAGAAAGAATTAAGTTTGTGAACCAACCTACCATTGTATAAAAAAACAAATAAAATTAGAACGTTGAGTGAGTAAATTGGACTTCTTTTGCATTAATCAGCCATAACTAAAAACACTTGGGTTTTTTGGCTATGAAAAGTATATTTTAGCTTCTGCTTTTCCTAGGTAGATCAGTTCTGTTATCGCTCTTTATTTTTTGAGTGCTAGAGCCTGTCATACTCTTCTGAACTATTTTTAATTTGTCTGAATTTAACTGGGATACCTAGATTAGGATCTTTAAACAGCTGTAGTTTGTAACTAGGGATAAAATAAATTCTGTATATATTAGACTGATCCTAAATATATTTTATTTTCATTTATTTATAATTTTTTAAAAATTATTTATTTATTTATGTGGAGGGGGCAGCTCAGCCCACCAGGGGGCGGGGCTGGCTGGCGTGTGGTGCTGGGGGATTGAACCATGGTCCCTGTGCTTTGCTAAGCTTGTTCTAAGTAGGTGCTTTAGACCACTGAGCCATCTCAGCATCCCCTATATTTTATTTTTAATAGAGCTTGCTTTTGTCCCCTTCCTTATTACTAAACATTTTCATGTAATCTTTTCATTATAAGATTTAAGTTCTATGAAGTTACCCTTAATTAGGTGGAAGGTTATAATTCTTTATATCTGGAAAAAGATTGGCTAGTGCCTTTAGCAGGTACATATAGTTTTGGTTGTATATTGTGATTGGAACCTTATTTTAGGGATGAATGTTCTAAAGCTATAGTATTGGCTTAAGTTTGTCTACCAGCTGTGGTTGATAAATGCACTTTGTAATTTTATTTATTTATTTAATATATTTGGTTGTTGCAGGGTCTTACTATGCAGCTTGGTCTCAGTAGTGATCCTCCTGTTTTCAGCCTCCCCAGCACTGGGATTACAGGCATAGGCCACTATGCCAGACTCTGTGGCCAGCTCAGTCCACCCTGTGGGTGGGGCTGGCACAGCATGTGGTCCCGGGGATCAAAGCACAGTCCCTGCACTTGCCTAAGCAGGCACTTTAGTTGCTGAGCTATATGCCAACCTCTACTTCGTCATTTTAAATGACCATTTTGCTCTGTGTGTTTGTGAAAGTTGACCTTTAGTAGGTGAAAGGTCAGGAAAAAAATTTACTTTTTCCTCAAAAGCCAATTGCGTTATCATCTAGAGAGGTTTTAACTATGGAAAGAGGTGGTTTTTTTTTTTTTTGTTTTTTTGTTTTTTTGTTTTGTACCAGGGATTGAACTCAGGACTTTGTGCTTGCCATCTAGGCACTTATGCTACTGAAAAGCCAGAGTAAACTCAGAAGATACATAAGATATGTGGCACTGTTACATTTCTGTGGTTTGAACACTTTATATTTGCATTCACACTAGATTTCTCAGCTATTTTCCAAATCCAGACACTCACCTCCTGCTGTTAGAAGATAAGCAGTATAGTACTGTGGTTTTGGTGGGGTTTTTTGGTCTTTTTTATCTTCTTGGAGACAAGGTCTCCCTATGCAGTTCAGTATGGCCTTGAGCTCACTTTATAGCTCCTGCTGGTCTCTAACTTGCAACAGTTCTCTTATGTTCAGCCTCCCAACTGCTGGAATTACAGATGTGTGCCCATTGTAGTACTGTTTACTGGGTACCTTTCAGAGTGACTTTAGGAAGCCACATTGCCTCATTTACCTCCCTATGACAGCAGATCGAACCTCATCTGCCCTTCATGGTGCAAGTATATTGTCATCATCAAAACAAGTGAAGTTTTTATTTGATTGTAAGCATTTCCATTTACATTTTTATCTCTCCTGGTAGCACTTGAATAATGCTGATTAGACTAAAGTATGGATTGCTGGGACTCTTTGCTTGGTTTGGAAGGGCAGGATTCTTGGTGCCTTAGTAGTATTTGTGACCTGTCTGCCAGGAACTGATTTATCACAGCTTCAAAATAGACTATTAGCAAACTACCCACTCTTCATCAAAAAGCATACTACTATTGTAGGATCCTTCTTTGGTTTGACTTTGAAATAAGTTAAAGGTTATATTTACATACAACCCAAAGCAATAAAATCAGAAAATACAAAGGTTATCTGGAAGGCTATATTAAAATAGCTTCCATTGGATATTACAGGTTTTTATTTTGTTTGTTTTTGTTGTGTTTTGACATGAGGGTCTAGCTATGTAGTTTAGTCTGGCCTTGGGCCATGTATTTTAGGCTGGTCTTGAGCTCGCCATAATCCTCCTGTTTCAGCCTCCTGGGTGTTGGGATTACAGGTGTACACCACCATACCAGGCTATAGAGGACCATTTTGTATTAAGTGGTCCAAGTATGGAAAACATGACAACCATCTTCACTGAAAGTATCATTGTTTCTCAAGATTACAGACCAAAATCAAACTTAACTTAATGGCTTTTCAAGTTGTGATCTTCAGTCTAAGTTTTATCCTTTTCAAAAAAGCAGTCTATGTGAGTTATCTTCTGTTTATTTTTATTTATTTATTTACATTTATTTATTGTGTGTGCACGTGCGCGCGTGTGTGTGTGTGTGTGTG